TGCGGTCTCTATTACCTCTGAGCAGAATCTGCAGAGATCGTCTTCTGCTCTGCCCATTAACCTTAAGTGGAATTTCATCAGGCAGTCCTACGACCATTCTGATGTCAGGTTTGCTCATGTTTAGGAGCTGTTCAGCTCTTTTTTCTGAAAAGTTGATAAACCTTTTTGACTGTCCTAGTCCTGGAGTGTGCCTCCAATATGATGACAGTCTTTCTCCCATTTGCTGAGTTGTTCTATGATGCTGCTTTTCATTAAGCCACAATAAGGCTTTGGTCCATGGTATGGTGTTGACGCCTCTTCTTTTGCGAGGCCATCTGCTTAGGATGAAACCAGATTGAAACTACAAACCTTGTCTGCATTTGGTAATTTATTTATTTCTTTATTTTGAATTTTCGTTCTTCATAAATAGCTTCCAATGAACGAATTTAATCCTCCTTTGAAAAAGAGGCAGTCTTCTTTCATTCATTTTGTTCTCTGCACTTATTTTAGACATTTTTGAAAAATCGGGAAAATCGATAATTATTCCTTTTTGTAACAGACGATTTGAAATGTTTTATGGAACCCAACTGACTTTAAGGGCTGCTTAAAGTATACTTTAACGAAAAGTGTTCTTTTCTTAAAGCCGACTTAACGTCATATTTATGGAACTGGCCGTAAATGTTTGACAATTTTAGTCGAGTCACAAAAAGTGCTTTTCTCCAAATAAAACATGCGATTTTTTCCGCAAACGGTGTTCAAACGATGAAATCAAGGAAAAAGGTATTGTCAAAAAGGATTAGATGAAGAAAAACGTAAAATTAGATTGCTGTGCTTACTGGTTTTGTGATTGTCGAGGTTAAATTTCTGAGACGTCACTTTTTTGTACGATTACGTCACGGCCGGACAAAAAAGTAACAAAAAAAATGACCTGTGTAAAATCAAACTTCAACATTAAGAATTGAGGTTAAAAAAGACGTAATTTTTTGACGTTTGCGGCAAAATAGTATGGCTGTTTTCGATTCCCTTTGGTCCGTCTTCAAGGCCAACCGAACTAACCCAACCGTTTTCCATTGCAAACCGCTGATGTCACAGGCATCACTTGGTCTGTCAAAGTTCGAATCAGTTTCGCGAGTTGGTTCGAGTTTTGGTTTGAATTTCGATTTGCTTTTATAACCTTAAAACATGGCGTCTTTCTTGACAAACCAAATTCAAAAGCTATCAACCAGCTTCTGTCATATCCAAACCAGCCAGAGGCCGAACCGGTTGCGAATCGAAAATGCTCTATATTATGCGATACGTCATAGGTTTCGGGACATCAGAAGCTCTTTAAATCTGATATAAAAAATCCAGGGTCGTATTCAAAAAAAAATAAAGTTGATGATGGTGTACCAAAGACGAAACGTCATATTTCAAATTTGATAGTGGCATCTTGTAGAGGAGAACTTTGGCATAATTCAACTAACCCTGTATCTCTTACCGTTTCTAATATCCCAATAATGCTGCTCGAATTTGGGACACCCTGTACAATAATTTATTTGTTACTCATTTGTGAAAGATATACGAACAAATAAAACATTAATACATAACAAAATAATAAAATTAATATTTTTTTCCTTGATTTTTTTTACACAAGTCGTGGTAGTTGGAATATATATGCGCACGAGATGTTGCGGATAAGTTTTGCATGCGGAAAAGACACTTTGCGCACGTGTTAGGTACAACATTTGCCCTATGAACTTCACATCAGGTAAGAACAAAAGTTAAGAAAAACCATAATTTGTCTGCGTCGCTATATTATATAGCTACTTGTATACCGTATACCTTTTTCTCGCAAGAAATTCGACAGTTGCTTGATAAATCTACTTTTATTGCTAATGTTGGATAAAAATTTTTTTGCGTTACCGTAACGACCATCCTCTGTAATAGCTATTTACCTAACAAGTGCGGAAAATGAATTTTTCCGCACGAGGTCGTAGACCGAGTCGTGGTAATACCAGAGGGATGTGATGAGCCTTACCGTACGTGTGATATACATTTTATCTACGACCTTCACAATAAGTGACTATTGTCGTTTGTCTATTATAAATAATTATTGTGTTCTCCATTGTGTACTAGGGCGATAATGAACGCGTTATGATTCATTACCGCACTAGTGCGGTAATAGGGCTTATTACATATGACAAATAAGCAGAAATTAGTGATATAATAGTTACCTATTGTACTGCTCGTAGATAAAAAATTTGGAAGCATTGACAATTTTACGTTTTTTACAAGTTTTTTACAAGTTTTTTACATTCAGGCCTGATGTATCATTTTCTGTTATTTTAACAGCAACGTTAAGTTATTTGTCACTGTTTATTCTATACGTCAAAATAGAGACAGCAATAGATGTTGAGTCATAACACAGCCGTTAAAATAACAGGTCCGGATACATCATAGGCCTGATTGTATTGCCAACTTAATGTCATTTTGACGTATCTTTAATTTTGAGACGGACTTTACTTTATCCCGCATAATTATTTCTATGCAAAATTCATGGCAACTATTGCTAGCGTCTATATTAATAAAGTGGTTTTCTTGAAAACATCGGTGGATTTTTGTAATTATTAACAACTAATAACTCCTTCGACTATTAGGGTTATAATCAACGAACCATTTTGGTACGTACGTTGAATGCACTCAGTAGAAATGTCATTTTTATTTTAGCGTATAAAAAGTACTTTTCGCACGCAAAAGTGTGTGAAAAGTTACTTTTCGCACGTCGTGCGGAATAATTGATTTTCCAGGTAAGTTAGTAGTGCGTTTTTAATAGCTTTTTAGAGCAGTCGTAGAAAATAGTTTATTCCCTAACTAGTGCGGAAAAGAGACTTTCCGCGCGAGTTAGGAACACTATTTTTTCTACGAGATGAAAAGTTAATATTTTTACCCACATATTTCTCAATTTAAGGTATTTTTTTCACTTTTTCGTACCTGTACCTGTAGTATACCTGTATACCGGTAAGTACCTGTATTCTACTTTTCCGCACTGAGTGCGGAAAAGTAATGCGGAAAAGTACTTTGCGGAAAAGTGATACTTTCATGACCTCAAATGCGTGCGGAAAGGTGCACTTTTCCGAACGCTCGTAGAAAAAGTTCTTTTCCGCACTAATGCGGAAAAGTGAAAATATCTGAAATTGTTAGGTATATACATAGGTAATAGAGGTACAACACGTCAGAAAACCGTCCCATTAACGGTTTCGAAACCACTCAGTATACAAATTTTGGGTTCTGCGCACAAACTAGCTTTTGCGCAGAATCGTGACGGTACATTGTACGGTTTGCTGCTGTGTTGGAACAAAGCTATTGACTCTCATCTTTTTAAAAAATAGTGTTCCCCACTTGATTGCTTGGCCGAACTCCGCTAAGCGTTGTTCGGCCAACTCCAATCGCGTGCGGAAAATTAGCACTTTCCACACTAATTAGGAAATATACTACTGAAGTTTGACCAACAAGAAAATAATTTATTGATGGGCAAACCGAGGGGCAAACACAATATCAGACGGGGATATTCTTATGCGATGATAATCGACATTTTTAGTCAAAACTTCTTGCATCGAAAACTGAAGATTACCACCAGTGTAAAGTGAGAGTGAATAATACGCAAATATTTTCGAATGTACTCGAGGGTCGAGTCTAACCTTCCCAAATTACAGAAAACCCTACAAAGCATCATTAATTTGTTACGATTTAAAAAAAAAATATATCGACTTCCCCCCGTAGTGACTCTCACAGACCCAACTTGACTGGAGAATATATTCTCGAATTTGCTTGACAGTCCAGTTTATCGTCCTCAAATTTCAAAAAATTCCTACAAAGCATCATTAAATTTTTACGAATTTTTGAAAAAATTGTCGACCTAATTCCGTAGTGACTCTCCCAGACCTAAATTTGACTGGAGAAAATATTCTCAAATGTGCTTGAGGGTTAAGTAAGTGGTTCGGAAGCGCTTCAGGAGCCCACGTTAAACTGTAGGGCCCGTCCTGATTAGACCTAGTAGTCAGAACAGAGAGGACGAAAATTATTGAAACAACAACAATCTATTTTTCCCCGTAGTGACTCTCTCAGATGTTACTTGACTGGAGAGAATATTCTCGAATGTGCTTGAGAGTCGAGTCTGTCGTCCTCAAATTTCAGAAAATCCCTACAAAGCATCAATAATTTTTCACGAATTTTTTAACAAATTATCGGTTTCTTACCGTGGTAACTCTCCCTGACTTAACGCGAAGTTAATTTTCAAGTTTCTTCTTCATTGGGTTGGAGACTTCTTTGCTTGGAGCAATCATTGCACTGAATTATCTGATGAAGTATTCTACTGATAAATGATCAGAAAAAATATTTCTCTAGTCTTGCAGAAACTGCTTTCTACAATTTTTTGAATATCAGTTCTGCCAAGCTAACGGCTTTGTTCAATTGGAAGATGTCCAATCAACAACTACCTAGTTGCAGTCTGTAAAGTCAGGCACTACCTATATTCCGAAGGGGGAATTTTCCAGACAAATTATGAGGTAATTAAAAGTACTCTTAGAAAAAAAAAAATATTGTGGGGTGCTATTTATTATATTTTAGAAGATATTAAAGATGTTTTCAGGCGAAACTAAAATTGCTGTACTTGGAACAGGTGACTAGTTTTTCATACTATCTTCTAGAAATTCGTATGGCATTCTTTGCCTAGGTAGGTAGTTGTTTCCTTACTTTATTTCTTAGCAGTAACCAAAATTCAGGTTTTTTGATATTTAAAAAATTTGATGCATGTTTTATTTGAGTGACTTGTCAATTGTATAGACTAGAATTTCCATGCACCTTGTGTATTTTTTTTGAACAATAGAACCTGGCTCATAGCTAGGCGAGTAGCTAGGTCCCTATGTCTTGACTGCCATATAAGCGAGCCCAAGTTTTGAGTTTTGTTCTTACTTATTATTTATTTTGATTCTTTTCTATTTATTTTTTCTTTTCTCAACACTACATGAAAATATCATTTCCAGGTATCAATATCTCAAGCCTAACGATCAGAGAAGAAGTAATTCAGGAAGACTACGATCATGGAATGGACCACCTAAACTGTGACTCCGAAGATTTAGTTGGCAAAAATGGTGCTATATCTACCCAAAACGATGCAGTTGGAGTTGGCGCATCTTGTTCCTCCACGACACCCGATACTAGTGGCAAACAATTGTCCATCTTGTCTTCAACGTTAACTAAAGAAAGTTTGGATAAATTATCAGCCAGTGATTGGGATAGGTTCCAAACCAATAAACCCGTCATTAGGGCGAGCAATGAGACTAACAATTTCGATCTCTTGAGTGACGAAGTTATATTGCTAATCTTCAAATGGTTGCCTAAAAACTCCTTGCTTGAGGTAGGCTTGTGCTGTCGAAGATTTTACGGATTAAGTCAAGATGACAGCTTATGGACTCGGATGGACGTTTCTAAAAGAACCTTAGAAGACGGTAAACTTGGAATCATTTTAAGCAAACAAGTTATTGTTTTAACACTGGCCGAAACATACATTATGCAGAAGCCCGTATTACCTGGCTGCAAAGCTTATAATCCGGACTTCAGATGTCGTTTATTATACTTAGATTTGAGTTTGGCGAACATTAATATTGGTAATCTGATATTTTTATTCAATAAATGTAATAGGCTGAAAAAATTAAGCTTGGAAGGTGTCCCTCTAAATGACGACGTATTAATAGCCTTATCGGCCAGTAAGGAAATCGAAGTTATTAATTTTGCCTTTTGCGGGGGCATACAACGGAATGGCTTGAAATATTTGCTCGCCAATTGCAGACAGATCAGGGAACTTAATATTGGTTGGAACTATTTAACTTATCAAAGTATCAAGTATATTTGTGAAAATTTACCTTCCACAATTAACCGGATGAATTTTTCTGGATGTAGAAAACTCATGACGGACGAACATGTTGCTAGTTTGGTAAAAAGTTGTCCGGAATTACGCCAATTGGATTTGTCCGATTGTACTTCCATAACAAAAGAATCCGTTAGGGAAATATCTTACTTGGTAAATCTAACCGCTCTGGACTTTTCCAGATGCTACAGGATCCCATTTAAATCGCTAAAGTATTTAAAAAAATTGCATAATTTATGTTTTTTGGATATTCATACATATTACACTACTTTGGCTGAGCTGGCAGAGGTAAAAGAATACGTGGGTGGTTCCGTGGTGATTAACGAGATGACATTGAGCACAATAGCACTGCCAACTGAGGATGGGCAAAGATCCAGCATATGGAATATGAGAGTGAGAGATTCGGATGGCTCGGATTAGTTAGTTATCTTGAATCTTGAATTTTTGAATACCTACATAATTTAACGGGTAAATTTCTTCCTTTGATGTATTTATGTTGGGTGAACTCTGTGGGTATTGAAAGAATTTTTTTTTGCTTTTTCGAGTATTTTGCTGATTAAATTTAGTAGGTATTCAATACCATATTATAGAATTATTTAATACCTACATATTTGTTTTGAGTTGATTATATAATAAATTTGATTTACAATATTTATTGCTTAATTTATTATAGGTTGGTATCTTCAACAGCTCATGGCCTTTTAAGTCAATTCAATTATATTTTTTATTTATTTATTCGGCGCAAACATTTCCAACATGCAAAATACAAGAGCTAGGGCAAAATTAGACGTGTCCGTTTGAAAATCTCATGGAGTCGCGCAGAATACCTGACACCTAAACCACAAACAGAACTGTCAGAGTATCACAGAACAACAAAATTAAAAGATAAAGCGAGTAGTGTTAACCCAACGAATGGACCCCTTTTCATTCTCAATTTTCACCAAACATAGTATAAGTAAGCATTTCCGAGTTGTGACGCAGTAAATCAGAAATTCCAAGATATGACGTCAGAACTATGAACTCGGAATGGGGGCCATCCGCCATGGACTTCTGTACAAAACCTCGTGAAATCGTCCTTTACAAATATTTTGCACCTGTTTCAGTTCGTTGGGGTTATGTTTTTGTATTTTGAGTTCTGTTTTTGTTTAATAAAGCGTCCCAGCCAAAAAGAAGGTTAATAAGCGCGTATATTCGAGGCCATTACTGCCAGGTTTTTAAAGAATGTGTTGCTGCGACTTTGTTGATTGCTGCATCTGTGCTTAAAATGGACAAAGGCAACAATTTAATTACCCTTCCAATGATACCTATTTTTTCCCAAAATTACCATTATATTCCAAACTAAAATGCAGCCTTATATTTACTTCCCTATATCTGCTCTATCAATCGCCAAACTATTTCATTTGGTGGAATAGTATTTTACATTATTAGCCAGGTAAAACAGTTTTTACTGGCGTTGAAGGAAATGACTAGCGAGCCGTCAGGCGAGCTTGTCCCCTTCAAGAGCCAGTAAAAACTGCTACCTGGCGTATAATGTAGAATAATTTATTTGTTACTCATTTGTAAAAAATATAGGGACAAATAAAAAATTGATACATAACAAAGTTTTAAAATTTCTATTTTTTTTCTTGATTTTTTGTCATATAAGCCTTGATAGTTGGTATACCTATAAGAACGAGATGTTGTTAAGTCGTTGTTTCTAGTTATAAACAGGTTTTCTGAAAGATTTGTATTTTGCAATTTTTTTCCAGAAATAAATGTGCCAGGAGATATTAATGAAACTAAAGTCGTAGCTAACAGTTTATCACCAGATATGTCTGCCAAAAGGTACCGACAAGCAATTATTTTTGTGATAAAACTGATTTTTTAAAAATAAATAATTCTACTGACTTGTAAAAATTTTTCACAGTTTAGTTGTCAATTTTACAAGTCAGTAGAGCCAGTGCCTTGTAAAAATCAATTTTCGTTGTTCATGTTTTGACTTGGTAATAGACCGTGAGATAGGGCCTGTGTTGTGATCCTTCAGTGTTTTGCCTTGGTTAAAACTACTTTTGTTTTTGGTTTGAAACTTGTAGCTTTATTAGGTAATGGAATATAGAATGAAATTGAACTACAGCAAAAGTAAGACTTATTTTAGAGAGAGTTTTAACAAAATGTGTTACTACGACTGAAGCTGTCTTAAGACTGTCTTCTTGCTTCACTAGATCTCTTACAAATCGACCTTTACATCCCTTCTAAAACGTTTCTAAAACCTACATAATTACAACTGGAAAACCCTAAATAAATATTGGCAATAAATGACAGTCTGTTCGCCCAAAGAATGACCATTAAGGATATTTGGGAATTTTGGGGTTTATGGTGGACAAATGTTTAATTTATTTACATACAATATCTTTGGGTTCTTTAACAGAAAGTCTGGGTCATATAATAGTATTGCTTTCGGCGACGGCGAGACATTATTTGGGAAAGTATTCGAGGGTCGTAAAAGGTACAATGTCATGATATTATGGAAGAATATGACACTTCCCCCCTTGAAAAAAAAAAGAAATTTTCATAAAGAAATTTCTTCAAAACAAATCCTTTAAGAAATACAATTATAAAAAAACTAACGTAAAATAATATGAAGCTTAACTTAATATAAAGGTAGGAATAAAAAGGAAAGAGAGAAAAAAAAAATGTAAACTAACTTATACCTAAGAATATACAAACATATCTTTTACTAAGACATTTTTATGGACGGTCTTGGGGTGACTGATCTTCGCATGGACATGGAACTCGTAGTGGATGTGGTTGCTTCATTGGAACTTAGAAGGTTCAATCCCTTCGCCCATTTTTGTTCTGGCTTCTTCTTCTAGAATTCTTGATATGTTTTGACTTGTCCCTGGAGTGGTATTTATATTTGTATTGAAAAGCTTAATACAGCAGGAATCCGATATGTGCTTTGGGCTTTTAGTACAACAAAACATACTTTTAATGCATGATATTAATCCGCACCACTTAAGAAAATTGTACACTATTACCAAAAGAACAACTGACGCGATAAAAGAAATAATGATAATGAACCAATGAGAGTGTTGAATAATAAATGGCTTCTTCAATTCTTCATCCAGCAATTGGTCCAGTTGTCCAAGTTTGTGATTCGCAAACTGTAAATCGTCCGATTTGATATCGGAAAGTCTTATTGGTTGTAGTGTGATTGGTGTGTTGTTGAATCTGGCTTCTTTGGCATAGCAGCAATCGTCAAGTGCAATATTGATATCTGAAATTTGTTTTGAAATATTCCGTGTAATGATTCCTGAGCTTTCCAAGATAATATTTTGAGTATAGCCTCTGCATTTGGGTTCCAAACTTAACAGCCCTGTTGATGCAATTTTTATATCTTCGATTGGAAAATTATCACAAGCCAGAGTAAGCTGTAAGGGCGTCGATAGTACGAAAGGCCAAGAGTTGTCGCTCAGTGGATACCATATCTCGAAGTCTGCTTTGGAAGTAACGGTATGACAGACAGCCGGGATTTTGGTAGAAAATGATGTAAACAATGCGACTTCGCACTTAGGAGGTTCTTGAATCCTTGTAGCTTGAGTGTTTTGGCAGATGAATTCCTCTTCTGTGATCCTTGTACACTTGGTAAGGACTTTCATTTGCACATAACTAACCTTACTAATACTTATCAGCAGGTAAGGAAAATCAGGTAGGATATAGGAATGAATATCAGAAAAATTATGAGGTGTTGGAAGTGGCAATAATTTGAACAGATTGTAGGTCATTTCGTCAGTCAATGGAATTTCAATTGCAAAAATAATTATGTTATCAAAATGAAAAACTTTTAGTTTACTGATCTCAAAATATTTGTAAATAGTTGAATAAGATATTGGGAACGGTAATTGAAGTCCGTTGTTCAATTTGATTTCCGAAAGTACATTTAATAATTGTTTTGGTGTTATAACTTTCGGATGTAGGATATTATGTCTGGCCATTGTTATAGCTGAGATTAATAAATCATATTCTTCGTTCAGATCTTCTAATATTTGTGTGAGTAAGGCAATATGTGAACTGATGATAAGTTTCAGTTTGTTTACGTGAATACGTTTATTGGTATCTGCTGAGAAGGAGTTGAAAATTTTAATATTAGAGTTTAGAGTTTCTTGATTAGATTTAAAATTTCGTATACTAGAATTAAAATTAGATATCGTACTAGAAATTATGCCAATTTGTTGTTTCATCAAAAGTTGTGTATTTCTATTACTTTGAATTAGAGTTTTTATCGATTTGTCATAAAATTTAGCATCATCGGCATCAGGCATGCCAAATAGCCAATTGAATGCGTAAGAAGCACCATCAAAAATTCCTCTTTTAGTCTTTTTCGTATTAGTACCGATTATTTCGCTGACAACTTCAGATTTTCCGAGCAATTTATTAAACCGAGATTGGACGACTTTTATAGTATCTTTGCATAGAAAATTTTCAGATTCAACAATTTCATTACTATAACATAGATCGAATGACTTTTTCAATATTCCAGAAATAAATTTTATTTTCTTTTCATATCCAGTTACATTAAGATGAGTAAATAGGACAAATTTAGAATTTGAAAGTTTAACTTGGCCAAGATTATTATAATAAAGACCGGCATGATCGTGGAGATTAGTAATGTGATAATTATCGCCTCTAACACTAACGGAAATGGAAGTTAGTACAAGTAGGAACAGTAGATTAGCGTTATTAATCATTGTTGCTTTGATCTGAAACAAAAGGTTTTATCATATTAGTATGATACGTAATAATTTTTTTTCCTATTTGTAGTTCAATATTATTGTTATTGAAAACTTTAGTGACTTTATATGGGCCTTTAAAGTTAGGACTCAGTTTTTTATTTAGACCAGGGGAAATATGTTTATTTACAATGTAAACCATATCTCCTATTTTATAATGATTTTTTTTTTATTTTGTTATCGTAATAAGTCTTCGATTTTTCTTTTGATTTCAAGATGTTGTTACGTGCCTGTTCTTGAGTTATGTTAAGTTTGAGTTTTAGGTTGCCTATGTAATCGTCATATGAATATTTAAATTCGGGTCTGCTAGTTATAGAGCTTGGCAAAAATGGTTTGGATCCAAATAATAGTTCATATGGTGTATAGTTAGTAGAAGAGTGAGTATGTGTATTGTAAGCGAACATTGCAAAAGGTATAAATTCGTCCCAGTTGTTTTGTTTGTCGTTAATGTAGTGTTTTAAATAATCTTTCAAAGTAAGGTGTGAACGCTCCAAAGCGCCATTAGATTCAGGGTGGTAGGGTGTGCTTGTGACATGCTTAGTTTTAAATAATTGTACGAGTTCTTTTATTAAATTGGACATAAAATCAGTACCTTGATCAGATAAAATAGTTTTGGGAATACCGAATAAAGTTATAAATTTGCATAATTCATTTGATACTGTTATTGCTTCATGATTCGGTATAGGAATGGCATACGAATATTTCGTTAAATCGTCTTGCATCGTAAGGAGAAATCTAGATCCGTTTTCCGTAATTGGAAGAGGTCCAACTATATCAATAGCAAGTTTTTCGAAAGGCTTTTCGCTAGTTGTTGTTATCATCATAGGAGCTTTACTGGGTTTGAAATTTGTTTTGTTTATTTGACAAGAAGGACATTTTTTT